TAATTGTTGTCCACAAAAGAGCGTCTTGATTTTTCTGTGAAAGCTTATTTTGTGGAAGTGTCGCAACTATGGAAAAGCATAGTAAAAATAGCGTATATATTGCCCACATAAAATAATGATAATATCTCCCATACTTATACCACTTAAAATTGACAAGAGCTTTAATGTTCGGCCATTTATAAAATTCCGGAGAATTTAATGAGGTAAAAGGGTTAATGGGTGGAAAAAGCAGTTCTTGAAAAAAAGAATAATTTTTTTCAGGGTAGGTAGCAAAATTCAATAAAGGTATCATCAACTTAACATTTTTTTTGGAAAAAAAGGTATGATCTTGTTCAAAAAATGTTGGAGTATATGAAATCAAGGATGATAGGCGATCGAACAATGAAGTATTAAATGAAAAAGGTAAAGGTCTGTAAAGGTCTGTGGGATTTGAAGTAGATGAGAAATCTATAAGCCTTTTATAATAATCTGGAATTAAAAATGCAGTTGAAGATAAAAAATTTTCTGTAAATCTGCTAAATGGTTTTGATTCTAGAAGATTGTCAGCAATCAAAGCTAATAAGTTGGTAGAATTAGAAACAATATTGCCCCTCTGAAACTGTTTTAAACTATGATTGATAATTAAGTCAAAGACTTTTTTGCTTTTTTTAGAATTTTTTTCTTGAATTAATTTTTGGAACAACTCTCTTCCATATAATTCCAGAAATAGTATATCTTTTGTATATCTTTTCAAGAAATCCGAATGCGTGATATCTAAACTACCTTCTCGATACAAAGGTTTTTTTCGATGCCTAAGTATTTCGTCGAAGTACGGAGGAGGTAGCGAGTTTTTATAATCTTCGGATTCTAATTTCTTCTTTAGTAAAATAAGTTGGTTAACCATAGCCTCTATCGGCTTATCCAATCTGTAATGCATTGTCAAATCACCCCAATAATAAAGTAGGTAAACGGAATTATCTTTTACTGTCCATATTTGTACTCCAAAGGAGGCGGCCAACATCAAATCTTCGTTTTCAAGTAGTAGAAACTTTACTTTGATTTCTTCTGCTTTTGTTACGCGTAAATATGCTTCTACTTTTCCTATTTCCGCATTCGTCTCAGTCCATCTAGCTGTTATTCCAGCTACTAATATATTGTCATGAGACGCGTTTTGAACAGTCCAGGTATATCGCTTACCGTCTAACGGCTCCGGTAATACCGAATCCTGGCCTAACGATCGATGGAATGACGATTGTTTGGCTAACATCTGTTTTGATCTATAATTTTCTAAAATATCATCTATACGTTTTTTTATATATTCTCGTTGTGAACCGACCCCATTTTCATCACGAGAGTCCTCTTTCCACTTCTCTTCTCCAAAAGAATTTAAGTCGTCTTGATATTTTCTAATCTTGTTGTTAAAGGACTGATCATTATGATATCGTAGAATAAAATTAATTTCAGCCAATAAGGGTAATTCCCCAGAGTTTTTCAATGTTGACGGAGAATTCGGCAAGGAATGAAGGTTGAGCGAAGATGATGATGTAGGTGGATTAATTACATAAGATTTTTTCTCCTGTCCAAAATAGATAAAGAGAAATTCCGAAGGTGCAGAGCCCAGCAACCCCTCCTCCTCTTTTTCGAATTTAATAAAACGTATCTTGCTAATTGATTTTTTATCAAACTTTTTACCAGATTTTTGAATCTTTTTTATAATCTTTTTTTTTTCGTAGAACTTTTCTTCAAACGATTCTATTAAATTACAGTAATTTATAGGTTAGTAATAGAATTGAATAATTTTTCTTGTGCATAAATAGTACTTACGATTTCCTATTAATGTACCAGATTGAGTTGAATAAAAATAGACTCTTGAATTTTCTTCCTGGTTTGTATTCGAATCTCCTTCCTGCTTTGTATTCCAATCTCCTTCCTGCTTTGTATTCCAATCTCCTTCCTGCTTTGTATTCGAATCTCCTTCCTGTTTTGTATTCGAATCTCCTTCCTGCTTTGTATCCGAATCTTCTTCCTGCTTTCTATTTAAGCGTCCAGCTACTGCAAGTATTTCTTTGTCACTGTTTAGTTGCATTAAAATACCTTTTCGATACTCGTTCAAATTCCAATCTAATGCGTATTGTGTCTCAAACTTTCGTGTTAACAGATTCCATTGCAAGATTACAAAAGGCAAATCTATGATAATCAACACTCTATCCAGAGAAATAACAGCACGTTTAAATTTTACGAGTTTAATGTTACTCGTGCAGTGCCACTGTCCTCCAATAAAGGAAAAGATGCGGACCTTATAAGTAGGATCCCCTTCAACAACTGCAAAATATCCATTTGTAAGAAACTCACAAGTTATAATGGCGTTTTCCTGATCTCTACCATCTAATAATTTTTCTACAATTTCATCACTTTTACAATCTCTAACTTCTATTGAAATAATTATATGCGTTATTAAAAAAAGACATAATCACAACTTTAGAAAGAATGCCAAACTTACCATAGATGTAAGAATCCTTATAAAAGTTTCCTGTAAGAATTTTGCCGAAATCTGAGATGCAAATTGGAGCACCTAAAACCGTATAATAAAGGTTAAAGGAATGATATAATTCTAATTTGAGTTCTCCATTTTTTTTTTGGTTAAATTTCCACATGCAAACCGAACGATCTTCAAAACTCGCAGTTGCAACATAGTCCATCTTCGGTGAGAAAACAACTTTGTTTATTTTCTTTCCATTGTGTGGATTATTATTGGCATCGACGTGTAAAGTTTCTTGATCATTGGAAATTTCGTCATAAATCGGAATCTTGCATTCTTCAGAAATTGGTTGGGTCATTTTTTATAGAATGCTAATTGATGCACATTTTCGATACGCTTTATTTATAAAGAAATTTATCAAATTCTTGATTCGACCCGAAACCAATTTACATATGCACTTATGTAAGGCCAAGGTGCATACGTAACAGTAACAATATGCGTACGCGAAAATTTGTATACTGTCTCTACATGCAGACATTCCCAGGTTATAGCTTTATATTTGATATACGCAATGACAATTTAATAATTATTAGCCTACAACATTTATGGGGATTACAATAAGCTAAACAGTTTCATATTTGAACTCAAGTACAGAGGCTGGGGCTAATTGGTAATCAAGGTTACATGTTGAATGTAAAAATGAATATGCGACCGTCATTTATATTAATAACAATGAAAATCAATAAATTCCTATCTTTATTGTAACTTTCCTTATAGGCATTTGCGAAGGTAGTGTTGTGCATCTTTGTTGTCAATTCAATGAGGTTTAAAAAACTTTATTTAAAATAATCAAATTTCTATTGCTATTGAGACTTTCCTTACACAGTAGATTCGACGGCCATCGCGCGCCAATAATAGTCTTTTGATCACCGCTGCACATATGCTCTCCAAATACTGTTGTGATGGTGTAACAGCGAGTCTGTCGCTAATCCAAGCAGAGATTCGCGTAACCGTCGTCAGGTAAGTAAACTTAAGGTGATTTGAGGCGTGTTTTATTTGACCGAGTCTTTATTAATTTACGGCTTAACTTCCTGTTCTATACTTTCAGATTTTACATGCCATTTATGCTTTCTTTCTTTACATTTGGCTTGACATAAAATAATAGGTGATAATATAATTACAAGGCTAAAGCTAGATTAAATAATCCCCTTTAATAATTCCTCCCGTCCCTCCTATTACCTAATTATTACAGCCGACTCAGCATTATTGCGACAATCGAACACGTGGCTGACTTCGCGTTCCATTTCACCCTGTTACACTGTATACGTACGCTTCATTGACGTTTTAATCACATCAGTAACCATTATCTTTATAGGGAGTTCGTCATCATATTTATTATTTCGTAATCTATACTGTATGAGTTATTTTTAATCATATAATGATTATTGATTTCAAATTAAGTGTTTTAATCATATCTTATTCACGATATTGGATTTTTGGATTTCTCAATAATTTCATATAAAGTAACTCCTGTAGAGCATAAGCAGAATCTGTTTTGTTTTGTTTTTTTGCGAATTTAGTTAATCCATATTGTCATTATAGAAAGTAAGTTTGGTAAACTTCTCCGTTTGAATTTATTTGTTGTGTAACGGCGAGTCTGTCGCTAAGGATAGCAAGATTTCGCGTAACCGCGGATAGGTTAGGTATAACTAAAAGCTTATGAGGCGTGTTGATTTGGTCGAGTATTTAATGTAGAAGTTGAGTCGATATTCTTTTATATTAACTTCCAATTTTCCTTTTTATGCATCTTTTGTTTACGGCGGCTAAGTCGGCTACACTTACGAGAACAATATAAAACTTTTGCAAAGCTATGTCTAAGCTAGTAATTTTTTTTTTTTTACAATCCCTTCCCTCCTTCCCTACTTCCCTACAACCAAGAATAAGTTTCTCGCGATGATATTATCACGTGACGGACATCGCGTCTCAACTTATTGTACCCTTTTACAATATACTGAAATTTTTGAGGCTATAAGCATGATTCTTGCTGCTCATTTGCAAATTCTCGTGAAGAGATTCGATAATTATTGTTGTTAGGGAGTAAGTTGAATCTTGTATAGTTTGACTCATAAATCTAATCTAATTATATTCCTATTCTTGACATTGAAGATGGTGAGTTAAATTTTAAGAATGACTTTATTACTTTTGTACAACCGATGAATTAAATTTTTTTACTTTTAAATAGGAAAATTGGGTAATCAATATAGTAAAACAAACAACAACTTCTTTCTGGTGCAAGCCATGCAAATCCTTTTGTTTCTAATATGAATTTAAAAAATGAAAAGTGGTAATAATATTGATGATTTTATAAGGAAATTTAGTTAAAAGCAACCAGTAGTCATAAATTAATTGAATAAATTCCGAACTTAAAGTTGAAGCTAATAAAAGATATAGCTAATTGCTAAAGAGAATTTGGAAAAATGTACACAGCAAAATGGATGATGGAATTATTCTTTATTGGAATGTAAAGTAGTCGTCAGAAAATATGGATGTTGTATTGAAATGTCTATTCGATTCACGAAATATCTTTAAAGAATTATTAAACGAGGTAATTGGCGCACACCAAATTGTGGAGTGAATATGTCAAATACACAAGTCATAATTGATTCATGTTGGAAACATTCTTTGTCTAAATACCAAGGCACGCTTATATAGTAGATTTGGAGTTTGCTTTATGGTGTGGTGCCTTATGTGGTACCTAAAATATAATATTCTGAAGCATCGGACGCCTAAGCATTTTAAACTATTTTGTATGTTCATGATATTATCTAGCAATCCACTATTCTATGATCCGTACGACATATCTCTCACTCTCGAAATTTGTAACTTGCGCCGGCCTAAGATTCAAAGTAACATATCTGGTTTGGTAATTAAATTGATACAAGTTGTGTGATATAAACCACAAAATTGATTAATCTCATATGAATTGCGTAGTGTCAATGGTGTCCAAATTCAGAACTTGATAAACAAATTGAAGAATATGAAGAATGTAAAACATCTGAACTTCGTAAACAACTAGGAAACGGAAAGCGTTGAAATGTCCGAAGGATTAATCCATGGTCTATAAGATCGATAATCAGTTATTTATAACCTTGATATTTTTAAACGTTAATATGTAATTTTTCGTATTTTTCATATAACATACTATAAAAATATTTTCATATGCCTTGTGCATATATAACATCGATCTAATAACGTAGTTAATAAAATTAATCAATAAAATTTATTGATAACATTAATGATCTCATAATTATTTTTAATATGAAACGTGTATAAACACATGGTGAATTACGCGTGCAAAAAGACAGGATGCGCGTAAATGCCTAACCGTTAATGTTCTTTATGAACGCGTGCAGACAGACAGAGTACGCGTAAAAGGATGTCTAACCGTTAATGTTCTTCAGACAATAAGCGGAATATGAAAAGGTAAATACAACGTTAAGCTCTTGGAAAATGAAGACAGTGCAACAACATATACAATTCTATGACGAATACGACGAATATGAGTCAACTTCTCAACTTTGAAAATCTTACAGAGCCATGAAACTAAGAACATGCTTACGATAAGTAATCTATCCATTTATTTTAATTTTATTTTCCCAACAAATTTTAACTCTATTACGAGAGTAAATTCAATAATTAATTATCTTATCTAATTTATAGAATCCAATAATCACATTTGAAAATAGTTGACGAAAATGAGGTGTATTAATCGAAAACATGACTTGAATTTCTCAAATGAAACGAACAATACTGTACCCCGAATAAATTTAGGATATCAGTATTAGCGTCCTTTAAATATTAGGACAAAGTTGATTTTTACAATACATTAGTGTTTATAATAGGAATAAAATAACCCATACTTTTAATACCATATCTTTATCACAAATTCTTTAACAACAATTTTGAATGGCTCATCGCTTTCAATTGGTTTGATGGTGTACGCATCTCCTTATGGAAGTGTAAAATAGAAGTTGGTTCATAATGATATATGTTGATATGAAATAACAGTAAATTAAAATATTTTAAATGCCATATATTAACTATTTCAAATATATTGACTATATAAATTATACTGTATTGTCTACACTCTTCTTGCATTGCTTTTATTAACCGATATCACTTTTTTTATGACTTATTGCAAATAAATAAAATTTTTAACTTTTTTTTAAAGAAAAAAATTTAAATTTAAATACAGTATTTAAAAATAATTACAGTAAATTTGATTTAAAATATTGATATTTAAAACACGATGTATGGTTTTTCAAAGTCTTTGAACAATTATTTTTATTATTCTAAATAAATAATTATGAAATTTTCAAAATTAATTCTTAAATATGAAATAAAACGAATTCAAAAAAAAAATTTTTGTATTAATTCATCGGATAAATAAATTCATTTTAAATTTTTTTTAATAAAAAATGGTGGAATTTTTAATAAATGCGGGATATATCCAACTGATTTATAATATTTTTTTATTCTAAATAAATTTAATTTTAAAATGTTGTTAATTAACTCATCAATTCAAACTTTTATCATTATTTTATAAATTGACATACAATATAAAGAATTTAGAATAACAATTATTTATTCATTATAAATTAGTTACATTGACATTTTTAAATAAATTTATTATTATGGAAAAAAAAATTTCATTATATAACAAATCTACTTGCAAATTATCATTTGGACACCCGGGAATTATTAAAATAATCGTCAATTTAATTTAATATCTACTAATTATTGGAATTATCATATTATTTCTTGTTTAAGTTTTTAAGAGAATTGTCATGAATTAATTTTAAAACCCTGATGCTTTTTATTTCTTTCAATAGTCTAGCATCAACAAAAATCATTGGAAAATGTATAAACAAGTGAAAATATATGATGTCAGTTGTAGTTCTTCCATTTTATTAGCAGCAAAACCCTATTTGTAAAGACAATCCATATTGCATGAATTTAAGAAAAATGATTACCTAAGCTATTATGTTATTTTACATTTTTTTAATATAATCACTTAAGCCATTTTATTTTTAATTAGTTAAGCATTATTGGAAGAAAAAACTACTATATGTACTGTTATTGGTACACGGCGAGTCTGTCGCTAATCTGGACCAGATCGTCACGTAACGGTAAGTATGTAGGGGCTTGTGTCGCTTGCTAACCAGAGGCACTTGTTGATAAACTCCCTTCTTTCTAATTGCCGGTCTAATCCTATACCACAAGCCATTGTGGTCCCTCAAGATTCTATAAGCGGCAAACAACCAATTAAGACAAGTTTATTAATTATGCTGTGCAATTGCAAGTATTACAAGTTTATACAATATAGATGATTTCTCTCTTTTAACTAGCTAAACCCTCCCTATTTATACCCGCTGCGACGCGTATGCTGATATACTGTCACGTCCTGCAAATCCCCGATTAGACTATTTAGGCTTTATGATGCAGGGTTCGATAGATCGCGCCATATCACATGACTGACAACGATCCTAGCGACTCACACATTTTTCCCCGCTAACAATACTAAGTATAATAAGTAAATAAACTTATATTGATCTTTATTTATTCATACATTTTTCAAATATCTTTGTTAATATTTAACTATTGAAAAAATATATATTACATGTTCCAATACAGTATATAATATCTATTGTAAACTTTAGATATTATTTATAAATTATCAAGACTTAATTGATTATTTGAATAACATTTTGTTTCTAGTTAACATTTTCTAAACATCCAGAAGCTCTTTAACAAAAATAACTAGACAAATATTGTACTGTTTACTTTACCCTATCAAAAATTATAATCTTTACTTTAATCACTTTTGAAATTGGTTTTATATTACCTTCCTGCTACCCAATATTCATTTAGGACTTATTATTACTTTATTCAACATATTGTTACTTTCAATAGAGTAAAATGATTAATTTTATCCATCAAATATTTTGAACCTGTTTACTTAAATAGAATCATTAAAAAAACGTTTGAAGCATTTACTATTTACTACAATTTTATTTTTGATTATCCAGATATAAAAATTATTGAACTCTTTTTTTTCTTAATATTTATTTTACTACCTAATCAATTAAGAACAATCTAATTTAAAAATAAAAGTTTTAATTTATTTGAACATATTTTAAACACTCTGAAAATCATCTTTGATAATTCCTTTATTAATTATTTATTCAATTATAAAAATTTAAATTTAAATTTATTATTTCAAGAAACCATTACTTTAAATATAAAATGTGTTTGATTATTTAAAAGCCAATAACAATATACAAGTCCTTTAGATAAAACATTTTTTTGAAGATGAAACTCAAGATTCTTTGACTTGGCTTTTTATTTTTACTAAAACAAATTAAGTAAATAGATAAGAACAAACAAAAAAGATACAAATATTAGCTGCATATCTCCAAGATAAAGCCAAAAACTAATAAACTGAATACCTTACTGACAATAGAACTAACTATACTAGAGACTCTTATAGGTAAGAAGATATTGAAACAGTATTTAAGAAAAAATTTTGCATTCAATAATGGTAAAACAAATGATTTAAAAACTTGAAAAAAAATAAGACTTTTTTTGAATCTATATATTTCTATTATACTGACTCAAGAAACTTATTAAACAAGTAAACTTTTAAAAAAACATATTGAACCTGCAAAAACTTTACTATTTTCTCAAAGGGTTAAAACCTGAAGTGCTTTTCTTATAATCTTGACTGTATCTACAAATGTTAGTACTGCACTATAATTTTGTTTAACAATATGAAAATAGTCAAGACCTTATTAATCATAAACAATATATCAAAGTCAAAACAGAAAAGATATTTGAATTTAGCAACAAAGAAACTTTTTATAATTTTATAAATAATTTTGCTCAAAGATTTGAGAAAATGCATTTCAAATTTGCAAAACAGATTAAAAACCTAAATATTAAAATAAATAAAAAAGAACAAATCATACTTTAGGTCTGATTTTATTTCTATTTTACTAGTATAAAAACCTGAAAATAATACTAGAATATATTATAAATATGATCAAACTAGACATATTGCTTAATTTTGCCTCTTAGAAAATCTTTACCAACTTAATAAAAAAAAACTCTTTTCATACACAACAGATTTTTTAAAAATTTTCTTTTTTAGAAATATACAGAAAAAAGTCAAGGAAAGATAACAAGCTATAACAAAAGATCTAAAGCTTTCAACAATTCTCCTCTAACAACAAAATGCATATTGAGATACGAGAGAAGGGTAGAAAAAGAACCAGGCCCAATTAGACCTCAACCATGTACAAAAAAGCCCATCACCACAGCAGTCAAGAAAATTACACAAAAACTGACCAATTCAACTTCCAATACTTAATAACAACAAACTATGAAAGACACCTTTAATCTCATTATATAACAAGAAATAACACAACAAGAAATCTAGTAGCAACAAAACATTAAACATCTAAACTAACAAAGTCAAAACTCAGTAGCATCAATAACATTCTGGAGTAACATAGTAGAAACTATGGCTCCAAAAAGTACTGAACTTGTATCAAACTGATATCAAAATAGTACTGATCTATAGTAAATTTAATATATGGGTTGTGATCTACTTATATGATTTTATAGTAAATTTAAGTATCAAACTGGTATCGAAGTGATATTGAAGTGGTATCGTTAAGAGCCCTCATCAGGAAATTTTTTAGCAAAGATCTCTAAAGATCTTCGAGTGTAGACCTTCGGAGGATCTCCATCGTCGTTAAAAGACTCTAAAGCGAAGTTTACTATATTAAACTCCAAAGATCTTCGATTTATTTTAATAATAATAAAATATATTTATATTCACAAGAGACACATTATTCAAAAAACTCTGTCAATAAAGCAGAACATTATTAAATAATCTAAACAACATCCTCACAGACAACTTTCCACACCCCATTATTTTCTTACCACCAAATATCTCAAATGATCACATCATAATTAATAAAACAACTATAAAAAAGTATCTCAGTTTAACAAAACAAACAATCGAAAAG